GTTCTCGGAGCCTACAGCTCCCGCAGCCTCTCAGGCAGTCTGGGTAGTTGGAACCACCAGGTATCCTGCGAGGCAGCTGGTTCTCCGAACAGTAAGTAGGATGGCACCCTGAGAAAGTCTGTCAAGGTGTCCTGTTGGTGGACAGAGACCCATTCCTTGAGTTTCCAGTGACTGGCTGTGTAGGACTAGTTTCCATAGTGTTCTCACTTCAACGTGGGGACAGAAACCTGGGCACTCTGGCTAGGCCGGGCACTGCGGTGTATGTGGTGCGTGTCTGCCCGTTGGGGCTGCCCCTGGGAGGCACCGCACAGTTTTCTGGCACGGAGTCTGTGTGGGGAGAAGTGAAGTGGACACGGAGAGTGCTGACACTGCTGCTTGCAGTCATCTGTCTGGAAATTGGTTCTGTCCTGTGGAGTGATTCGTTGACAGCACATTCAGATTTCCCTGAGGCCAGAGGCTGGCCGGCCGGCCTTGCCCAGAGCGTCTGGGCTATGGTGCGGACGTGAGCCCCAGGGAGTCGAGCTGGCAGTGACACCACATATACGAACACTGCCCTCCCACAGGTGCCACAGCCAATTTTCTTGACATTGTTTGCTCCCTACTGGGCAGCCCTGTTAATTAGCAGAGTAGGGAATTTGAGCTGTATACCGGCAAACTGGGAGCAGTTCCCAGCCAGCCAGGCCTGTTTCGGTAGAACAGCTGACGACTTTTTCAGCATTGCCCATTGGATATAGGTAAGTTGAGATGATCGTAGTTATAATTCCTAGTCCACAGCAGCCATGGTGGTTCTCTTTTGCTAGGTTTATATTTAACCATCAGCTCCATGTTTGGGGAAACATCAGGTGTGTACAGGAGTAATAGTCTGTCAGATACTGGGTTCAGCTTCTGGCTTGCTGCTTCCTGCTCCAGAGAGTCTGCCTGCTGGTGCCTCTTCCCTGGGGTGTAGAGGAACCTTGAATGTTCCAGGGAGTTTCTGGAACATTCTCTGATAGACGGGAGCTGGTAGGAGTTGTAGGGACCTTAGGAATCATCTAGCATGGGGAACAGGTTACCAAAAGCCTGCTCAGCGCCAGGGAGAGGTCCTGCTCTCACTGTTAGAAGCCTTACTAATGCCCTGCTTTGTGCAAGCCCTTGGGAGGCCTGTCCTCTTCTGAATGGAGATGGAGGAGGAGTTGATGGAGGTGGGGGGGGGGGGAGGGGAGAAATAGATGGGAAAAGGGAGGAGAGGAGGGAGGGGAAACTGATTTGTATGTAAAATAAATGAAAAAAAAAGATATTTAAATTTTTTTTAAAAATCGTGATCCACTGGAGCCAGCCTTTATTTGTGACCACAGGGTGTTTCTGGGGTGATGGGAGATGGGACTGGACTGAGTTCTTGGAATGTAGGAGCTGCTTCTGTGGATAGGGCTGACTTGGAGATTGACAGTGAAGAAACCAGGAATAGCTGACCATGGGATGACCACTTACTGGGTCCACACTACACCCAAGACTTCACTGTGGCCACTTACATGAAAAAACTGTTGTAAAGATGGGCTCTGTCCTGGACATCTAGAGGGACATCTGTCCGAAGTCAGATGTCCTGATGCTGTGAGACTCGTCAGGGGATAGGCTTTATTTGGCTTCTTAGCAGGACCAGACTGAGTAACCTAACATCTGCATGAGGCTGCAATGCATACTGCATTGCTTCCCTTAGGATGTGTGTGTCCAGGCCTCTTGCCCATCACTTGTCCTGTGCACACTTTACAGCTTCCCTGAAATACCACAGGTATATGAAACATATTCCATTGATCCATAACTATGTTTGCTATTTATATAGAAAAACCCTTAGAATCAAAAAAGTAGAGAATTGGTTTTATAACATTGATAGTTCTTCAGGATTTTTTTTTGTATATATTTACCTCAAGGTGCTATTTTCTGGTTGACAGTCACACATGCAGGAGATGGGTACCTCCCCAAAACACACCTGAGTGGTGCCATTCTTCACACTGCTGTGGACACAGGGTTGGCACTTTCATGTCCTCTGTGTCTCCTGCTACTCCTTGACGAACTCCTTTGAATTGTCTGTCAGCTGTGAATCTTACCTTGATGGCCTTCAGTGTTTGTGGCCAGCTTCTGCAAGTAAGGGTGATCACTGAACCCCAGTTACTTTGGAACCTCCTGCCATGTTATTGAACACATGGCTAGGGGCACTGCTAGAACTGTGATGCCAGCAGGATATTCCTCTGTCCCTCTTTGGATGTGGCGCTGGGAATTGAACCCAGGCCCTCACACATTCTAGGCACCTACGGGCTCTCCCATTGAACCATATTACTAGTCCTCCAGCCTGTTTTAAACACATTGTTAAAGTACCACTGAGAGCTGTCTAGCATTCCTTACTGCAGAATGGCTATCTGGGTGGCATCAAAAACCTGGGACTTTAGCATGCTCTTTTAGAAAAGTACACTCAGTATGACCTTTGCATTGTAAAATCAAGTGTTTTCTTAAGTTTTTCTCTGTCACATTTTCCATTACCACTTTTAAGAGTCTTTTAAAAATTAACTTTCAATCTTCTTATTAAATTAAATTCCGGACTCTTGGGATGGCTTAGATAAAGGTGTTTACTACCGACCCATACAACCTGAGTTTGCTCCTTGGATCTCACATGGTGGAAGGAGAGAACTAATTCTGAAGGTTTTCCTCTGACCTCCACACTTGCACACCACGCGTGTACCCACCCACAACCCTCCTACACATAGTAAATAAATTTCTTATGTGATTCAGTAAATATAATATTTAACCTTTAAGAAATGTACAATCTTTAATAAGCAACTCTTCACAAATACATGCATACACAGAGCAAATACAGTAACATTTGTTTTTATTGGTTTTTTTGTGGTGTGTGTGTGTGCGCGCGTGCGCACGCGTGCGTGCACCTGTGTATACATTATGTCTGTGGAGGCCAGAGGTCAATTTTGGGTGTCTTCTCTATTTATTTTGTTTTTGTTTGTTTGTTTTCCAGGACAGTTTCTCTGTGTTGCTCTGGCTGTCCTGGAACTTGCTCTGTAGACAAGGCTGTCCTTGAACTCGGAGAGATTCGCTTGCTTCTGCCTTTTGAGTACTGGAATTAAAGGCATACACCACCACTGCCTGACTCTACTTTACTTTTTAATATAAGGTTGTTCACTGAATCTGGAATTCACCTATTTGATAAGATTAGCTGTTCAGCAAGTCCTCTTATCCCGGCCTCTCCAGTCCTAGGATTACAAGTGTGAGACACTATGCCTGGCTTTTTTCATGTGTACTGGGGATCTGAACTTAGGTCCTCAGTGTTGCATGGCAAGCGCTTTACTGACTGAGCTGTTTCCTCAGTTCTTAATTAATTCTTTGTGGGCATGTGACTGTTGTACACAGTATAATTTTTCTTATCAATTCTTCTCTTGATGAATACCCAGGTTGGTTCTATAACTTAGCTATTTTGAACATTGATGAATGTGCTGGACATGGTGCCAGACACTTTTAATCCCAGCAGTTAGGAAACTGAGAGAGGCTACATAGCAAGTTCCAGGCCAACTAGAGCTACACAGTGAGACCCTGTCTTGTATAAAACAAAACAAAAAACATTGATGAACAAGTATCTTTGTGATATGTTAACCTAGGTCCTTGAAGTAAATACCCAGGAATGCTATAAATTTAATATTCCAGCATTCTTGAACACATCTTAAATTCTCTCACTTCCTTGTATCAACTGCCGTGTGTTTGTGTATGTGTGTGTGTGTGTCTGTCTGTCTGTCCATATGTATTTATGTATGTATGTCTCTTATTCTCTCTGTGTATGCATGTATATCAATTACATTATATTAATTATGTAAAATATTTACATAAAATAATTATGTAAAATATTATGTGAAATTATATTTTCACCAGAACCAGAAGAAGAATTCATGTGTCTTTATCTCTCGGCTACTATACACACTTCAGATGGTGAAACAGATAATTCTGTGCACACAGGACCGCTGGGGCTGGCTTCTGTGTCTGACTCCTCAGCCCTGGAACTTCCAGGGCCCCTCTCTGGTCCAGGCACTCTCCCTGGTCCAGGCTCCGTGGTGTCTCCACCCTTCCCTGAGGTTGTTGAAATCTTGTGATGAGAAGACTTGTATAGTGTCCTATGGCCTCACATCCTTCTGCCTCATTTGTGGGTGTCACCATCACTCCCCATAAATGCATGACCCTTTCTATCCGTGAGCTTCTGAGTTTTGCATACTCTTGGTATGGCCACAAACTTGGGAGCCTGGCTGTGTTTATTGCTTTGAAGAACCATCGTTTCTTTGTGTGACTCTTGGGAAACTCAAAAATACCTCTTTACCTTTGAGCTGGTGAACTTTTTTCATTTCAGGGGTTTGTTCTGAGCAGATTTTTATTTTTTATTTTTTCATTTTTAAAATTGATTTTATTGAACTGTACATTTTTCTCTGCTCCCCTCTCATTCTCTCCCCCTCCCCTTCAGCCCTCGCTCATGGTCCCCATGCTCCCAATTTGCTCAGGAGATCTTGTCTTTTTCTACCTCCCATGTAGATTAGATCCACGTATGCCTCTCTTAAGGTCCTCTTTGTTGTCTAGGATCTCTAGGATTGTGAATTGTAGGATGATTTTCTTTGTTTTATGTTTAAAAACAACTTATGAGTGAGTACATGTGATAATTGTCTTTCTGGGTCTGGGTTACCTCACTCAATATGATGTTTTCTAGCTCCATCCATTCTCCTGCAAATTTCAAGATGTCATTTTTTTCCCGCTGTGTAGTACTCCAATGTGTAAATGTACCACATTTTCCTTATCCATTCTTTTTGGTCGAGGGGCATCTAGGTTGTTTTCAGGTTCTGGCGATGACAAACAATGCTGCTATGAACATAGTTGAGCACATGCCCTTGTGCGATTGAGAGATTTCCTCACAGGCCTGTGCGTGGCCTGTCTGACCCTGCCTCATGATGTGCCACCGGTTGCTCTTTGTTTTTGTCTTCTGCCAGTTGTCACAGTGATCCTGAAGGCGCTGACCTACGACGAGAAGAGGGGTGCCTGCAGCGTGGGCGCCAACGTCAGGGATGCCGCCTGCTATGTGTGCTGGGCTTTTGCACGTGCCTATGAGCCTCAGGAGTTGACTCCTTTCGTGACTGCCATTTCCAGGTAAAGCCTGTTGGTTGTGCTGAAGGGTGATGATGCCATGTAGGAGATATACCTCAGGCAAACATCCCATTCGCCCTGAACTTCTTTCCTCAGATAACTCATTCTCAACAGCTACCTGCCAATCCCAGCATTGCTGGAATTCACTACTCCCCTCTAACAGGTGGATAAGACAGGAAAAAACAACCTTATCTTGTGGAATGGTACATGATGTGGGATTTCCCTCTGTATGCTATGATTACCATTGATTAACTGCTTTGAGCCTATGGCAGGACAGAACAGAACTAGTCAGGGAAAGCTAGGCTGAATGCTAGGAGAAAGAGGGCGGAGTCAGAGAGAAGCCATGTAGCCCTGCGGAGTCCCACGAACTTTGCCGGGTGCCACGACCTCGTGGTGATTCTCAGATTAATGGAGATGGGTTAAATTAAGACGTAAGAGTAAGCCAATAAGAAGCTAGAGCTAGTGGGCCAAACAGTGATTTAAAAAAATACAGTTTCTGTGTGATTATTTCAGGGCTAAACAACCGGGAGCCAGCTGGGGGCAGGATCTGCTAGGTGGGGAGATAGGGTTCCAAGCACCACGGTCCAGGGAAACAAATGGGCTCCGGGTCCCACTTGAGAGAGATGACATGGGTAGGAACGGAGTAAATCTCAGTCATCAGAATACTCTGGAACCCCTTCTGCTAGTGACTCTGGAGCCCCTAGCAGCTGTCCCACACTGAGGAACAGTGTGGTTTGAGGACAGACCAAACCATAGGCCTTGTCCTAGTGAGCATGGAAAGACTCCGACAGAGAGGACCCATTATGCCATGATGAATACACTGAGCTGCTTGGTGCCCTCACTTGACTTCTCAGAAAGAAACAGAATAAAGCTCAAACTCAAAGAAAGGTGGCTCCCCCCGCCCACCCCAGTGTTACATGCCAATTGTTGCTTAAAACTGAAGAGACGCTTGTGCCGAGGACCCATTTGTTCTGCATCTTTCAAAGGGATAGGAAAAAGAAAAAAAAATACTCTTGAAAGTCAGGCAGAAAAGCCCTGGTACTATACCAGAGGCACGGGAGTCTGGTGGCCCAGCACCTTCACTCCACTTCTAAGGATGCTTCCATGCCGCACAGAGCTCTCCAATATCACAAGTTTATATCACAAGTTGCTGAGTGAAGGTGAGGTGCAAGTCTACTGGCCACACAACTTAGGAAATCAAGACAGACAAAATCAGTGTCAGAAAAAAACAGATATTTCTACATTCCAGAACTCTGAAAGTGTGAGCCAGAACCCCAAGTATGATGCCCATGGTGCTCCTTGCCCCCTCAGCTCATTTCGAGGCACACCTCCAGAATATTTCTCCTGGACATCTTACTTGGAACTCCCTGCTCTCATAAAGGAGCGTCTCAGGATCTGTATCATTTATGGGGCATAAGCGCATACTGAGGGTGCACCACTCACAGGGAACATGACGTATGCAGGATTATCAGGAAGCTTGCAGGAGCCCAGGTGCACCACTCACAGGGAACATGATGTAAGCAGGATTACCAGGAAGCTTGCAGGAGCCAGTGGTCCAGGGTCTTCTGCTGAGCTTTGGGCCCTATCCATGGTGGTGACCTCTCTGCTTCCTACTCCACTGCCATACAGACGTGTCCCCTCTTTGCTGTTTATGTGCCTTTGAAGGAGGTTCTTGCAACTGCTTTCTTGTCCTTATTTTCAAACTTCTGGCAGTATACCGTATAAGTAGAAAAAAAGATTTTCTCCTGCGCACAACTGTCCCAGAGCCGGGCGGCTTCCTCAGATTGATGGCATCTTGTTTAGCTCCATAGGGCTCTGCCAGGTGGCTAGCTGCGGTCATTGCCCAGTTCTTTCCCTGAGGATGAAAAGAGGATAGAGCATTAAGCAGGAGATAGGTGCGAGCCAGGTGTGACCCTGGCATGGCACTGATGAACGCCAGGTGATTGTGAAGGACTGGGAGGGACCTTGGCTTTGATGTACAGGAGCTTCCTGCTTCAAAGTGAAAACAGTCCTTACAGATCCCACTTAGTTTCACAGTTTTGATTGGAAGAGCAGCAGACTTACAGAATGCTGTGCCCTGCCCTTCCACCTCTCCTGATCCCGGAGGCAGGAAGGCAGGATGGCCTGATGGAGGAATCGGAGTGGTGCCAATGGGTGCTGGCTTGGGAGCATGTGGCCATGTGGAGTGGCAGTGCATGGCTATCTCCCCATTCTCTTCTGTTAAATGTGGGGACCCAAGGCCCTGCTGCTGCTTTTGAAGGTAAGAGGTACACATGAGAGGTTCCTATCAGCTTCCTCATGATTGGAAGGCCCTGTGGGGCACCTGGTCCATAGGGAAAAGCCAGAGTTACACAGTTCCCACCAGAGCACCTGTCTTCACTTAGTGTTGTAGGACTTGTGACACAGCCCTGATTGAGCTCTGTAAAGGACAATGGGTTGGCTTTGTAAAGGACATGAACAGTCTTTGAAAAACGTGGCTGATAGGCGTGATGTGGCCCTGAAGTTGGCTGCTGTGACCTTTTGTTGTGGCTGCAGATGGGGCTTTGGGCTCTGTCCTGTCTTCTTTAACCCTAGCTTCTCTCACACATAGAACGATGCAGTGAGCAGCTTCCGTAGCTGCTACAGGAACTCGGTACCTTTTGTTTCGGGGTTGTCCTCTCCTGCTCAGGGAAGAAAAGGCAGCTGCACGTCAGAGTCGAGGGTCCTTCCCATCCCTCAACATTCCATCCCCTTTTCATCCTCAGAAAAAAAATACACACCTGATGCACACTCAAAGGTGGCCCAGATTGAGCTTGACGTGGTCTTTCCAGAGCTTATGTGAACTACAATTGCTGAGTGAGGTGTCCCATGGGGAGATGTGAGGTCTTCTTCCTGTTGGGTTAGGATTTGGGGTGTGGTGTGGAGAATGCTACTTCTGTCAGGACTCTGGGTGAGCACAGAAGTGGCCTTGACTTTACACACAGCTCAGTCTCTGGAATGACCTAACTTTCCTGGCCCGGGAGTAGTTGGTATGCAGCTGTGTCTAGCTTTAGTCTTTAGAAACTCTTGTGTTTCTTGGGCCTAGGAGAGGTTGGACTTGCTGACACGTGGGAAAAGCCTCAGGGGTTGATGAGGCTCATGCCTGTGTGTTGCACATGGAAACTGCAGCCGTCTGGCCTCAGGACGGCTGGCTTCTCTTTCACAGCCTCCTGATTCTCCTAAGCTGGCAGTCAGCTGCTCTGGAGTTTCTTCTGAGAAGGCTTCTTCTCTGGCTCCTTTGCCCACACCTGCCTCACATGGGCAGCAGTGCCCTTTGGAGCTGAGCTGCTGCAGGTTTCTAGCCGGTTGGACAGGTTCTGAGGAACCTGTGCCTGGCCCTTTCTGGCCCATCTGACTCCAGGCATCAGTGGGGGAGGGCACCTGGTGAGTCAGGTGCGCCAGTGAGCTTGGGGCATGCACTACCTCCCGCCTGGAGCTCTGTGTCTGAGTATCGGTCGGGTGTGCCCTGCAGACTTGCTTGCAAGGTTTGTCATGAGTGACCATGCTCTTTAATTATCAGGTTTTAAGCCCATTAATTCCAGCACATGATAAAATCTTGGTATCTTTACTTTCACAAACCCCTCCGTGTATCTTGTAAAAGTGCAGTTGAGATCCAAATATAGTTCCCAGAAGAAACAGAAACATCTGTCAGAAAGAACCAGGGAGGCGATACGAGTCCTGTTGGCCTTGGTGCCCGATGCAAAGATAGCCACTAATCCTTTCTAACTCTTGGCCGAAGAAACTGGGAAGTTGTTCTTCCCCCCTCACAGGTGCTAACTCTGCTTTAGAAATGTTAAGGGCAAATTTTTATCTTTTCGAAATTGTTTTGATCGACTCTGAAAACCGTCTTTCCTTGACTTTGAGCAAAGACCGGTGGAGAAGTTATGACTGTTCTGTGGCACACATCTGGCTTCCTGAAAACCCCCAGTGCAGTGGCAGCAAGATGTGACGCGAAAATGCATTGGGATGGCTGTATATTACCTAGACGATTCTTTCTAACCAGAAGTCAGGATCTGATCTACAGGAAAGAAAAGAAAGCAAACCTGCTGCCGCTGCCAGGGTGCTCTGCCTGTCACCTTCTAGTGATTGCCTCACCTGAAACTCTTTTGTAAGCTGAGCTCCTGTTGACGTTCACTCCGCCCAGGCACAGGCCCGCCCATGCCAGGGGCAGCTCCTGACTCTCACCTCCACTGTGCAAACCGGCTGGGCAGCGTGGGCTGCCTGTGAACTGCCTGGGATTGGCTCTGTAGGATCTCTTCCTCCAGGGCAAGATTGTCCTGGAAAAAAAAAATCAGGAAATAGCAAGCATTGCTCAAAGCTATGTCTTAGTCTTCTCTGCCTCTGAATGGCCCAACTTCCAGAGAAGGGAAAGCTCCTATTGCCAGGACGGGGCCAGCAATCAGGCTGTGACCCCAAAGTACATGAGTCTTCTGCTTACAGCTTAGGGAAATTCAATAAAACACAGGGCTTATGTTTTATGTGATTTACAACTTAAAAAAACCAGAGATGGACAATGAATTATTAGTCTTCTCTTTAAAAAGTTGCATCAGTATGGAAGTGCTGTCCTTTACCAGGCAGCCGCAAGTATGCTTGCTTATTCAAATAAAAAACAAATGAGTTTGGGGTAAGTGCTGTTCTCACGGCACATGCTAAACTGAGGTATAAGACTGGGAAAGGAGAAAAGCAGGCTGAGGCATGTCACTTTCCCTTGACTTATACCACAAAGAGGATCCCTTCTTGTTGGTAAATCCTGGTGAGCTGTCACACAGCTTCCCCAGAGAAGTCGGGCAGGTGGACTCAGATCAGCCTCACTACATGTTCACTACATGGCTGGGAGAGTTGAGAGTGAGGTCGAGAAAGGCAGACTTGGCTGGTCCTTGATCCATAGGTCTCGCACCTTGCTGTCTCCTGAGAATATCCCTGGGGCTCCAAGGGATGTAGGGACCAAGGAGAGAAATCCTAGATGGGGAAATGCTTCCCTGAGGAGGGTTCCCTTGAGGATGGGACCCATGGCAGTAACTGATGGCCGCAGGGGAGGTGAGAGACGTGAGATGCAGAGGAGCAGGGACTCTCTAGATTCTGACAGTAATAAAGTTTGTTATATAAGAGAAAGCCTGTTGGGTGTCCTGCGAGCTGGGGGAAATTGGTTTGCTGTGGTGGTATTGCTTAAGAAAAGGCTTATTTTGACTTGTGACCTGGGTCTGAGGTCAGGAGGCTGTGTGTAGTGGTGGCCTTTTTGCATGAGGATCACCAGAGGATCCAGTCTTGGTCTCTACCCTGTTGACTTCATCTAATGATACAGACAGTGCTCGCTCCATTGTGCCTCATACTGGGTTGAGGCCTGTAAGCATTGTGGAAGGCATAGGCAGCCGTGTCTGGGGGTTAGTGTCAGCCACCCACTGGTGACCGTTTGTTTGTCTGCTGTCAAGTCTCATCCTCTAGCACCGTTTTGTCGAGCACATGTGACCCCAGGAGGGCAAAGACATTTTTCTACAAGGCACTAGAGGCTCAGGACATTTGTTAGGGCTGGGGCTATAATTCTTGCTATCTGCGCAGTCACTCAAATCTGTTGTAACCTCTAGGAACCTTGAGCTTCCTGCTGTCTGAGAGGCACTCACAGCAAGTGAACAGTAGGGAGATGTCACATGGTCTGTGCCCGTTCCTATGCATGCGGAGGCCAGAGAACAAGCTTGGTATCAACAACAGGAGTTCTGTCCGCTTCTTTAAGGCAGGGTCTCCTGTTGGCCTGGTGTTCAGCCGTTAGGCTAGACGGGCTGGGATTATTAGCACGCACTACCTCACCAACATATTATGAGGGATCTCATGCAAGACAAGCAGTTTACTGACTGAGTTATTTTCCCAGCCCTTGCATGTTTCATTTTAATTAACCATTTTCCTTGTTTTTACAGTGCGCTGGTCATTACCGCCATCTTTGACCGAAACGTGAACTGCAGAAGAGCAGCCTCAGTAAGTTCTGCTGTCCCCAGAGCATTCTCTTCCTGGAGCTGGGGGTGTAACTGTGGCTAATGTCCTGTAGGTGGGCCTCTGTCCCCCTGGAGAAGCCATTCCCCTGGGCAAAGGAGATCAGAGGAAAGAGCCGAGTAAAGCAGTCACCACGGTAACATTTGTAGGGCATTTACTGTGGAATTCTTGGGGAAGTCAGGACTCAAGGCCTCCATTTAGTGCTGCCGAGCGGTGAAATGCCTTGAACAAGCATGGGTGAACAAGTTTCTCTTCAGTAACCAGACCAAGTTCAGGGTAGCTCCGGCTCTGCAGGGGAGGGGAAATTTATCCTGTGATTCTACCCTAAATGTCTGGCAGGACTGGTCCAGGGATGACAGAACAGGGCACTGGAGGGTTTGTGCTCTAGGAGGAGCTGTTACTAAGCTGTGTTTAGCTCTGCTTTCCTGACCACATTGGAATGGATCTCCCTGGGTGGGCTTTGGCCTTATAGCTGACCGTGGGCCTTGTGTTTTGAGCTCAGTTACCCAGGTCCCCTGAGATCCAGCTTTTTGGGATGGGTTTGGGTAGACTGTGTGTCAATAGAGGTGTTGACTAGGGCCATTGATGAGACCAAAGTCCTATGAATTACAAGGGAAAGGGACTGAGATGTTGCCTGCATGAGGATGTGTTGCAGCTCTAGCTGACCCCACACATAGCTGGCCACTGTGGTCAGTTGCTGAGGCCAGGTCTGTGAGTGCTGTGTGAGGCCGCATCTGATCCAGGCTCTGTCAGGAGCACTGTGGTGTCTAGCAGTCTGAACCTGAGCCTTCCTTTCATAGATGGACCAGCAGTTGAACACATTTGGGGTGCTCAGAAACATAGGCGAGGCCTATGGGTGAAACTTGCTGTTCGTTGTGAGGAGTGTGGATTTGGGAGTTCCCGTGTTTTGAGCTCCGAGGCTCTACATTCTCATAGAGACAGACCGAGTAGCACATGACTGCAGCTGCTGAGATTAAGGGAAAAGGCGGGTGCTGGTGCACAGGTGGGGTCGGTCAGTACCAATAAGGTCTCTAAACTGTGGGAGGCCTGTGATTGAGCAGGCAGTGTTGCAGATGTGGGTGAGATTTGTTAGTACCAATGAGATCTTCATACTATGGGAGGCCTGTGATTGAGTAGGCAGTGTTGCAGATGTGG